AACAAAAAACTACCTCATAGCTGTATGCTAAATCTGAAGCTACATAGAGTTAGCCTAGCCTACCTTATCCTAGCACCAAAACTGGTGGACACAGCTAGCTTGACTCTGCTCAGAAATACTCAAAAAATATCATCTTACCAGCTCTTTAAAACCCTCATTATTACCATGACTACAACTCCACCTTCACTGTCCACAACACTCTCAACACTGTGTGCAGCACATGCAGCAGAGTACGTAGCTGAGCAGACGGCGTGAGCTGCTACATAGTTTATGACAAACATTACTGGAACGTTATTTAACAATGACTCCATTCTTTTTCTCTCTCAATATAAATGTTTATGTATTAAAAGAATATTAGCTAATATATTGATATTTGCATATTTTACTCCTTAAAAAGTCAGTCAAGAGGCACTGATCTTCTTATCTATAAAGCAAAAGAGATGTGCTCAAACTGAACAAGGAAGTATTTTCTGACAAAACTACTCTGCAGAATTTCTTTTACTAAAAAGCGTGAGCAAGCACTAAAAGCAGTGTTAGGAGCAGTTTTTCGAGCTGCACCTTAAATTTCTGTTCCTCTTTCTTCTGTTCCACTGGGTGTCGTTTTCTTATTACTATGCATAACCAATCAAGCACACTATGTGTGCACCAGGGTCATGGCAGATTGTGTCTAAACATCTGCTTTTTCCATTGAAGAATTTGAGAACTTCTTTCTCCACTCACCATCTCGCCCTGATATTAACGGTGATGAATCACTGTTTAAAAAAAAAAGTAATAAAAAGGCAAAGATCTATGAACAATTCATGGCCTGAATAGAAGAAAATCCGAAGCAGACACGCTGTGGATTATGAATATTTAGCTAATGCAGTGGGTTCAGTGAAGGGTGTGGCTGCATGCTATCATGCACAAGACTCCACTGTTCAACAATCAAGTTGGCTAGCAAGCTACTGTATATTTATGTGCTTAAATTTGATTGAAAGCAACAAGTTCAGGCCTTTTTTTTTTTTTTTTTTTCTGGGGCCAGTCCAGAGTCAGTCTGGGGAATAAAGGGAATAAGCTCTGTCTGTTGAAGGACAATAGTTTTAGAGAAAGCGACTACACCCTAAAGGGAAGTAAATTTGATACTGGACTATAAATCACTGCATCATAAACTAAAGATAAGCAACTGTGGTAAGAGTGGCATTATGGCTTTTCCCCCCCAAATCCCATCCCTGAACTGCTGTTTCTGGCCACCTGACATCTATGAACTCAGCTCCATGCTTGATCTATGCTGCCCCGGCTGACCTTTCCACTCCCACTGCTAACCACATGCCCAGCTACCTAACATCACAGCGCCGCCTTTGAGGTCAGCCAGCGAAGCATGCCATTGCATGTTAATTGCAACATGTGTGGTGAGCCGAGCTAAAGCTGCTCGGGGTTTATGTGAGGTTTTACAGCTTGTGAACAACAGTTTTCTCCCCTTCTTTTCCTTTTTCTCCACTTTTTTGCCTCCCGTTTGCTCACATTCAGATGAGAAACGCTGTCAAAGCAGAACAGATGATTCCGTTAACGCCCGAGTTTGACCGGTGGGACGGCGACACGGGTGACGTCAGGCATTGCTTTGCACATGTGTGTCTGTTTAATTCAGATAAATCAGCATCTCTGGGTGTAGAAAATCAGCCTAATCCAGAGGGAAGCCTGTGCTGAACACCGGCCCTGTGGCCACAACAATATTACAGTGATAATATATTGGAGGAAATGTTGGCATAACATTTACATTTCAGCATTTTAGCACCATGAGATCATCAGACTAACTGAGAAACAACATTATCTAAAGTTTGCTAACACTTGCCACAATGAGCTACCGGCCGATCCGCACTGAAGAAAAGAAAAATGTGCTATTCAGAAGTTAGCTTTAGGTAAATATTTTTCCAGCTCCATTCATATCCCACCAGCCTCAATAGAGGTTCCCTGCAATAGAAAGTGCATTAACCCTTATTTAAAATGCCAGCGCGACATGATGTTTTTGTGAGAGGGGGGAAAAAAAAAAAAAGTTGCGAAACAATAATTCCCGAAGGACAGAGCCGTCCCAGAAACGGCACCAAATGTCATGAGAAAGAGAAAACGACAACAGCTAAAAATGGAACAAAAGAGTCCTTGGTGGCGGCGGCGACGACGACGACAATCTCAGGGTTAAAGATTCCTCAGTAGGAGAGAAAGAACAAACTCCTAAAAGCTGAATTAGCATTCCTGTCAATCACAGCCTTGGCTAGAGACACATACACAACCAAAGCCCCTGATTTAATATCCCTTTTTCCTTACCTAGGCCCCAAACTCTATCAGCATACTGACAGAAATATGGGGAGAGGTGGAAGGGGGAGATAGGGGCAGAAAAAAAAAAAAGGAAAGAGCAAGTGAAATGGAGAGTGAGGATAAAGAGGAGAAGCGGGAAATGAAAAATGAGAAAGGAAAGGGCGTGCACAATAATGGAAAAAGGAGTTATCTGCAGATTTTATCATAGTCGACACCTTTTCCTGTACAGAATGATGTGTAGCCGCAGTAATAAGCTTCAGGTATGTGTCCCCGCCGGTATATAGCGCGCAACAGATGCCGAGCGCAAAGGAGAGCGACGGTACGGGTCCCACGGCGACTAATGCAAATGCAGTTTTACATGTGGCACAATGGGATGCGGCTCGAAAGGAAATTAAAAGTTACAAGGGGGGTTTCTGCTCTGATTTCACAAAGTCTGCACACAAAGCATCGGCGAGCCTATTAGGGAGAAATATGTCCAAATATTTTCTTTACGGCAAAATATCTCAGAAATGTCAGAGAAAACAATTTGGGAAAAGCCCATGAGAAAAGAGTTCTTCACCCCTCCTCGACGAGAGAGGGAAGGGAGAAAGAGAAAAAGGGAGAGAGAGGGGAGGGGAGAGGAGTGAAGGAAGGGATGGATAAGGGAGAAGGGAAAGAGGGTGGGGGCTTGGCTTGCACTGTCAGAAATGCTGACCCATTCCCACGCTGGCCTCTCTGGACTGTTTCCCTTCTTAGTGCCGGCCCACGAGACCACACTGCACCCTGTCTGCCTCTCTCCCCCACCCTGCTGACCCAGCTCCAAGAATACAGAAAGTTTGCTGTGATTACAATCCCCCCCAGACTGCCGTTATTCCAGGAGACACTATAGCATCTATACGGAGCATGAGTAAGCTCAGGGCAGAAGTCAAGACTCAAAAAATGGCTGCAAACTCCGTCTCTCTCGATCTGCGTCTGCCCTCCGTCTTCCTGTCAGAAGCGAAGGTTTACGATGG